GTTTCGTCGACTGCGTTCTAAGTCAAAGTGGTGTGCACAGTTGCACAAAGAACTAGTACATGGCTGTGACTCGTTCTCTGTTTGCTTTGCGTTGCAGGCCATGGGGTTTACCTTTGAATTATGTCCTTTCCGCCATTGAAAATTCTTGAAAGAACGTACAATGGCGGCAGCCGGCTGTTTGCTTCAACCACAGGGGCGCTGCATGACACTATGGCTAATGCGGTGCCAGGCGATGCTCGAACGGGCGACTGACAAAAACGTGGACAATTACTGACGAGCGTCTAGCGAATGCCAACGGTTATTCAGTAGATTATTTGATCGTTGTTTTTTTTATTAAAATCAAAACAACGAGATCATAATTATGACCATTTTTTGTAGTAAAGTGTAAGGCCATTTTTTACCGAAATTTGCTGTCACATTTACGTTAATGCCTAATTTGCATCAAGGTAGGAAAATCGATTTGTTTGTCGGCTTTTGAAACCTGTAGCAGTTTTACTCAGGTTTTGAGGCAGATGATTTACAGAGGCGCCAAATGAAACGGTGGATCCAGTGAATTTGCAAAATCATTTTAAAATTACATTAATTATTCAACAATGCAAAGTAAAATATTACTTTAATGCCTTCAGTTGTTACCACGAAAGGTAATTGGTAGAAATTACGTCCGGACAATTACTTCCAGTCCAATACGGTTACATTATAGATACTGGATATATGCGACATGATGCACCGCCACCTTACTTATAGTTGTCTGTCTGACCTTTTAGAAGATATTGGCCCCATGATACTTAAGTGCCTACAGTACATAAGGTACAGGACCTCATATATGAGTTTAGTCGAAGAAAAGAGGGTGTGCGAACACCAAGAAAATTTCCTACTTTTCCAGATAAATATATCCACGATGTTCTAGAGTGATCATTGCAAATTATAGGTTTCCATTTCCACCATACCTTACGATGAAGAAGGTTACGTACACTTCGTAGTAGAGGATTTACTGGAATGATTAGAACCAAAAAAATGCCATTTTCCGACATGTCCTCGTTCTAGGTTTGTCATGAACTCAAGTCGATAATCGTCCAGAATTCTCTGTTCTCCGTTTTCCGCCCACATCGCTGGCAAAAGAACTGATCATCGAATCAATCCAGTGTCTTCTAGGACGACTGACTGACCGCTCGGGGACCAGCGGAACCCGGATGGTAATTCTTGAGGTATTCTGAGCCCTATCGCGAGGCTATCGTCTTGTGACGTCGCTGAAGGCAGAGATCACATCCATTAATTCAATCGTTTGTCGAATTTGTGTTCGGAACATGATCCCGGAGGAAATTCTCGCGTATTCTTCCCGTCATTGCTGTTTATTTGACCATAAGCTCATTTTTCTCAGCTTTAGCACGAGGTCAAGGTTCAACGTCTTGGATCATGGCAGGTAGAATGGTTGAATATAGCGGTTCCTTCTCTCCCCTCGTAGGCGACTAGTTGTCGAGTAATCATGTTGTAATGCGATTAAAGCTGGACTACGCATTTGAATGATTAAAACTGAAACATTAATATTCTTTAAAAAAATCTTGCAAAATTCATGTTAAGTCGTATCTAAGACTAAATTATTTAAACATTAAATTTAAAACGTGAATTTAAACTAGTAAATGCGTCTTCGAACCAATTTCTGATGACTTGATTTCTTTCCAGTCCTTGTCAACGTTGCGTCTTGAACATTTAAAATTCTTTTCACATCATTCAACAACTGAATGCATATTTCTGCTCAAATTATGCACTGGTTCATTGTGGAAACTCTTGCATTAACGATATTCATCGTTTTTGCGATAGAGATGACGAATTTTTCTGTAAGTCAGATTTATTTTAAGAAACGGAATCTTCTACGTACGTTGTCAGAGGTCTTTACTAAGAGTGAAAGTTACGACTGACCTCAGCATTTCCTATTGTCAAGGCTTACAATGAGTTGAAGAGTCTCCTCCTGACTTTTGATTGTGTCAGCCTTGACAATGTGTCATTTGATGGTTGGTGAAAGAGTTGACTTTTGAACAAATTCTTTCAAGTACTTCCTACTTTCATTCAGTCTACGATCACTAAATTAATTAAATCTTTTTCTACGCCTGAACTAAATTTAAAAGATAAACCTAGACAAAAAATGGAGAACAAGTTCATCCAATCGAATTTCTGGATCGAACGTTTTTAGTCGAATAAATGTTCGAAAACTCAGAGTGCAAACCCTCATGAACCGTTGTCATGTCAGCCCAACGGACTCGTAGAGGTGAACCATTTTGTAAGGTTTTGGTGGCAGAATGTGTACTTG